GTATTTTTCAGGAAACGCCCTGCCTTTAAAAATAAAAAACTCATTTTTTTTTATTTATTTAAATTTTATATTGTTTTGCATTGCAAGTATATTAAAGCTTTTTTTCATACTAATTTACCCCATTCTTCTTTACTCTTTTTAAACAAAGGCAGCGGCGTTAACAAAATATAACTGAGTTTGTTAGTAATTATCATTTTTGAAAGTCAAAATTTACAATGGTTATGACATTACTCAAACAAAAAAAAATATAAAAAGGTGTAGAATAATTATGTTGTTAAATAAAAACTACATTCAGGCGTGAGTAAAGTTTTAAATTTTTATAAAATTGGAAGAATTTAGTAGGTTGTAAAACTTTTATACATAGATATATGACAATAGGGCATTCTCTATTTATATATTTTAAAATGTTTGGTTAGGATTGATAAATGTAATCCACCAATCAAAATGCATCAACAAAGTCGGTTAGCGTGGCTGTATTTTTGTAGCGTCGGTTTTCAAGCGTGTACGCGTTGGTTCATTGACTCATCCATGATTTTGTATTGTTTTAGTCGTTAAAACACGAAACGATTATCCTAACAAACTGCTGAAAGAAATACTGGAATTTGTTTGACTCACAGAAGTTTTAAAAGGTAGTTTTTTCTTTCTTGCTGGCATCCAGCCCATGCTCTTGCATAACGTATTTACAGTACAATTATTCTTGAAATTAACCAAAACACAAGCTTTTTTCTATTATATGATATTCTAAATACTGCAAAGCCAATTCATTAATTAAAAGTGGGTTTTAGGTGTTTTGAGAGTGTTTTTCATTTAATTAACATTGTTTTTATAGATGGTAAGTAAAAAGGAGAAGTCTTCTTCTGCTAAGACAGAAAAAAGTTTGAAAACTGAGAAGCCAAGTGCTCTTCCAATAAAAGTAATCTCGCAACCGACTGAGAATGTCAGTAAAACCAAAAAAAGGTCCAGTGCAAGTCCATCCCGAAAGAGCCCATCGAGAAAGAGCCCTTCTCGAAAAAGTCCTTCTCGAAAGAGTCCTTCACGTAGCCAGAAATCCCCTATTGATAGTCCAAAAAAAAGTCCTATTCTTAAAGTAACTGCTAGAAGAAGCATAGGTGATAGAAAAAGTCCAGCTCGTCCAACAAAATCGAGTCAAGGTGTGTTGTTGTTTACATTTCATTAAACACTGGATAACGATTCCGTTTTTTATAGGGTATAAGAAATTTATTGCAGATACTGACACTGATTCCGATACTGCTGAAATTTCTGCTAAGTTATCTGTTGAAAAACCAAAGGCTGCTGTACGGGGAAGGGCTAGAAATATTGACAATGAACATCAACCTGTAAAGGTAAATATTGATATATGATTGCTTTTCAGTTTTAATCCTAGGATATAAATGCAAAAAATTATAGAAAGTTCTATTAAGACTAAGCCAAACATATTTCCTTTATGTGTAAAACTTCTGTTTATATTTATTAATGTTGATGGTTTGACTACTACAAAATTTAATATTCCTGGCTAGAACCTCCCTGTATATCTACATGTATTATGTTTCTTGTATGCAGTTTTTAGTAGTGTACAATTACATGAAATGATGAAACATTTTAGTTATTTATTTTGTAGGGTATGATCGAGATTATTAGTGGTGCTGAAGTGGAATCAGAGGTTGGCCTTGTACGTCGTTCAGCACGTATATCTCAACAACGTGAAGTTGAAAGAATTGTTCATGTAAAACAGGATTTGTTTGCTCAAAAACTAGCTGAGTTCTCTGACGATGACGATATTAAAAATTTTAAATATTCAAATTCAGAGAAAATGCTTTCAATGTTCAATACACCTGATCGTTCAAGCACGTCTCTTGACCGCGTTAGCGAATCAAGAAAGTTCGAAAAGTCAACTAATGATTTGAAAAGATTTGACTTATTGGATAGATACGAATTTGGGGGTTCCATTGGAGCGCTGGCTCTAATGTGTTTTATTCCCGTTACGGTTTATGGTATCAATCTATCTTGCAATCGAAATAGTTGTTCATTTACGAAAATACCGGATTTAGAAAACTTAAAAAAAGTCTCATCTTATTTCGATTTAAGTGCTTGGACGGCTTTCTTTGTTTTTGCATTAGCTTTAATGATTTCCAGCGCTTTGCCTTTCGGCGGTAAAAAAGTCACCGGATTATTAAATAAAGAAGGCATATTGGAGTACAGAATGAATGGCTTATTTTCAGCCATTATTTTGTCCACATTAACTATTGCTTTGAGTATTTATGGTTTTCCGGTCGTTCAAATTGTCACAGAAAAATATTTCCAAATGATAACTGCTTCTTTGATATTTGGTATACTTTTGTCAGTAATTTTGTACCTTCGAAGTCGTCACGTATCGGTCAGCGCTCTAAATCCTCACGCTGTCACTAGAAGTCATATTTACAATTTTTGGATGGGGCGTGAACTTAATCCTCGTTTCTTTGGAGTTGTTGATGTCAAGATGTATCTTTACAGATTCGTCATAATTAGCTCGGTAAGTTTTTAATAAGATGTTTAGAAAAAATGAGAAATAACGTTAATTGATTGCGTGTCACACTTACTGTGAAACTTGAAGAATAATATCTTCTTGTTGAATAAAGAAACTACTTTGAGTTTAATTTCACAAAAATTATTTAAATTCATGACAGTTTCGATAGTAGTGTCATTATTCAAAAGAAGAATACAGTTGCAGTATGAACAGAGCTATATTCTTTTGAATATTGGCATAACTGCTGAAATAAATTTCTAAAGATTTTAAATAAATATTGTGGTATTAACTACAATTCATAATGATAAATTCAGGATACAAGAATTACTTATTTCTAAAATATCAAGACTTGAAAATAATTCCTTTTTCTTTTATATTATATGATACGGTTAAGTAATAGATTATAATCTGAAAATGATTTACAGCTGATTATAAATGGGATCTTTCTGTTCAAAAAAATGCTTCCACCAACACCAATATCTAGCGTGTCCGTTATGAAAAAAATCGCAATGTCTCCCACTGCTTCGGTACTTGCGTTGTTACAAGGTGTTTACCTCCTTGATGGTCTCCTGTTTGAGTCTTCATGGGTTACCAGCTTTGAAATTCAGTACGAAGGTGTTGGCTGGATGCTTGCTGTTGGTTATGTTATGTACCCCTTTATGTCAACGACGATACTCAAATATGTTACTGAACATAATATCGAACTGCCCTGGTTCCAATTAGTTGCTGCGATAATACTGTTCGTAATTGGTTACATTTTATTGCGAGGAAGCAATTCCCAAAAGGATTCCTTCAGAAAAAATCCATATGATCCTTCTTTATCACGTGAGTATCTTTAATGAGATTATTTATTTATTTAAACGGGGTATAGCCATTCTATACAAGGTAAATTATAAAAAATGTTTTCACATTCATTAATACAAAACAAATTGCATAACCATGTATATAAAGCTAATTAACTGACAGTATGGCAAAATCTCTTTAAATAATTCTATAGAAACATTCGAAACATTTTTTAAACAATAATCTAATTTATTTTAGTAGAAAATAATATAAAAGCAGATCATTAAAGATCTTGCTGTATTTATTTATTTCTATGTAGTGGGTTAGTCCTGGTCTGTATATACTTAATTGAAATCAAATTTTATTTTGTAGGCAAAAACACAATATCCTTCAATTTGTTATCTTAAAAAAGGTCGTAACAAAAAGTTAAAAGTTGTTAAGAATGAAAGAGAAATAGCCGAAACAAAAATTTATTCTATATAAGAACAAAGGCTTTCACGGCCGGAATCCATAGCAGAATGAAGGTTCGGGGTATAGGGCCGTGGTCTAAGTAGACCACTTAGCCCGAATCTTCATTGTACTATAGTTAAAGTTCTTTTTAAGAAAGAATTTTTAGGAAAAAATCTACAGAATTTGATGCACTAATTATATACATGTCTATACATATATAAACCATTGAGTTTTCGTGTAGTTCTAATTTTTTTCAGTGGTAAACAACGAATTTTTTAAAATAATTTCAGATTTGGAAACGATACCGACAACACAGGGCAAGAGACTCCTTGCATCAGGTTATTGGGGTTGGGTGCGTCACCCGAACTATCTTGGTGATATTCTTATTTTGATATCATTTACATTTTTCGTAAAATCTGTACCGCCCCTTCTCTTTTGTCTTTTGAACATTTTGTTCTTAATATCGCGAGCTAGAAGGGATGGACTACGCTGTAAGCAACGTTACGGCGCCGCATGGGATATCTATTGCCAAAGAGTCAAGTACATTTTCCTGCCTAAAATATACTAAGCAGTTTGAGTATTTATTTCTTGCTTCAGTTTTCGTTTCATTTACTTGATACATCATGCATGTAGTTATTGAAAATTTTATACAAATGAAGTACAAAATATACCTAAATAAGCTACCAATTACCTCTAAGAGATTACCTTTAGTAAAAGGTTCAAAGGTAAATATTCTATAATTTTGTGTATTTTATGTTTTTAATGCAATGAATGAGTTAAGAGTATTGCTTATGCAATGCTAAAAAATAAAGTTTCTGTAATTACGGGGATTATTTTCTTATGTATTTTTTTTTAATGTAACAGTTTATTTAATTTATTTTTTGAAGTGTAGCAATGTGTCAACTTTGTGTTAAACTATGGCGCGCGCAGAAAGTACACTACTTCCCGTGAGTGTTACGCGAGCGGTAAAGAGAGTTCAATTTATTCTCCACCTTAACATTCGTAGAAAAAAGCGAAGCAACCTGCCGGTACCAGGCAGCTTTATGTAGCTTACTTGTATGCTGTCGAGATACAGTCATGTATTAAATAATGCAACATTCTCTTTTATGTTATTTAACTAGTTTGGTATAAAGGAATGCAAAACTACTGTAACGGCATACACATTTTTTTAATTTTGGTCATTGAGATCTGGTCAACTGTCAGGAAAGGGTTTGAAGGAACAGTAAGAGCTCATAATAAATCGAAGCTAGTATGTATCTATCCATGAATTCGTTCTTATTATTCTTTAATTGTACAGGCCAATTTGACTTTGTTATATTTGTTTACAGCAAAGAAATAGGAATGAAATATCAGTGTATATCGATTAATACTGCATGTATTAATTTTTTTATTGTGTAATTGTTTATATATATTTATACCTTCGATATATACCTCTGAATTGCCCATTTCTTAAATAATTTTATATATGGACTACCTACTTAAGCTAGTTCAAACTAGGTACTAGGAGGAAATTAAATAATTTTATCTAATAGTGTCATGTAATTCTAATTTTAAGTGGTTCGAAGTTCAATTACTGATTAGTATCTTTTACGTCTTCTTTTATTTTTTTTACTGATTTGTGTCTATTCTTTAAATAATTTTGTCAGACTTAATGAAAAATATTACTATCAGCAAAGGTAATTTTTTATGGTGGACGCCATTGATGTGTAACATCTAGCTTCGGTACAGAGCAAATTCTTGGGGAAAATCTTGGTCAGGTGTTGAGGTTCTTTTCTTCATTTTTGTCTCTCTTTAATTGCCAACTGTAGGCAGCATCGATTGAATATTGAATTGCACGTGCTTCTTCCTCCGTATGTCCTGTTACACATTTCCATCGCATAAAATAGTTCTATACTGGAGCAGTAAGATGTTGCACATCAGGAATGTAGTAAAGGAACAGACTGTACTTTTACCTTATGCGTTATTTTATAATAGGATGATTACACAAAGTACAAATCTATTTGTGAAGGTATTAATTTTTCATCGTTTTCTATTATACTGTATATACATATTGTCGATTACTTTGTGCAATTCTTAGTACTTTCAATTCTAAAAAGCGTAAAGTATTTTTGTATTTTTTTTTCTATCAGATATTTTTTCGTCGCCCATGAATATGAATAGTATTAGATTATTAGGATTATCTTCTAGAAACCAATAAATTAAGTATACAATAATCGTGTGTTTTACCAAAATAAGTATCTAATTGAGTGCAAACTTTTAGATTTAACAATAATCTATATCCATTCTTCATGTGCCTTAAAGTTTGTACCTATAGTAATGGTAGAGTATATCCTCTACAGTTTTGTTTTGTGTGATTTTTGCTGCTTTTTCTCATTTTTGATAGTTTTAGAATAATCTCTATGTTAAAAAGAATTATTTATAGAGTTAAATTAATTTACGATTAGAATTAATGAAAAAGTATTCTACTACAAAAAAAAGAAACGGTATGTGCAAATTTTTTGAATCAGTTTATAATTTTTTTTTTAATGGAATACATTGAAGCAGTTATTTAATTTGTAATACAAATTTAATGAAATAAAGCATATTTCAGGTATGGTTTCGAATCTTTTTTTTGTTTTGTTTTTAAACTTTGATATCTGTACCCTCTCATGAGCTGCTATTGCCAATTATGATTTAGACTAAAAAAAAAAAAAGAAAAAAGGAGACTGTGACGATAGAAGTAATTAAAACAAAAAGACTTACTTCAATTAACCACAACACTTAGTTAACATAAGACTACGTGTTTCGGAACCAGAATGTTTTACTATTCATGAGAAATCGCTTGTAGTTCAGGTATTTAATTTTATTTTGTGGAATAACAAAAACCTCGCAATAAAAAGCGAAATGTCGTTGGTCGATTAAATGAAGGGCATATTTTCATAATAAAATAAGTACTGTTGCCTTTTTAAGAGAGATACAAGATGTTAAATGAACCCCTGATTTTTCATAAGAATATATGGGGTGTTCCATTTAGAAAATGGCAAATTTATGCAACACCCTGTACAGCTGGAAATAAATTTTGATTATAGTAAGTATTCATCAGATCTTATAACTTTTGTATTAAACTTCCTGCCAATATAGAGTTATTGTTCTGGAACACACTACTGTAGGACTACCCTGCATATAAAAACATATTGTCATCTACTTTTATAAAAATTTTATTACAATCTAGCAATAAAAGACCATTGTTGACAAAACCCCATAACGTAAATACAAACATATTTATTAACAGGAGGTACTTGATAACAACACGACACAATAATAATTATTCACATAAGTCTAAAAACAGTATACATATACATACATTTAAACCACAAAACATACTATAGTTAAGAGAGTACTTTATTACAAAATTGTAATTTTTAGCATTATTCGGTTTTAGTCTTCTTCATCCTCTTCATCTTCTACTGCAACTTCTTCTTCCTCCTCCTCTTCCTCTTCTTCTTCGCATTCCTCTTCCTCTTCGGTAACGTATAAATCTATTTCTTCCAGTCCAAGCTGGTTTCTTTTTAATAATCTCTGGATTAGTACCAAAGTTTCTTTTGGGATGTAGGTTTCTCGGAGATCTATATTTTTTAATGTTCTGTTATTCATTAAGCACCGAAGAATCGCCTGTGGTATGAAAAAATACAATATTTTACTATTTTATTGAACAAGTCCACGATCTTCCCCAGGGTAAACCCACGTACTATGAAATTAAAAAAAGGTCAAGCTTTGCATATTTAATAACACATTAAGCTTCTTGAGAAGATATGCTTTCAAAAATAGTAATATAAAAAATGTTTGCCAAGGCCTGGTAACTAAAGTTAAAAGAAAAATGTTTGATATAATATGAAGTTAAGTTTTGTTTTCATATACACATTTAATATGTTTAACTTTGTTGTTGGTTCTCTTTCAACAGTAATCAAGCAAGTTTTTTATGAAAGCATTGCTCCTACCTTAATTCAATTAAAATCCTGTTAAATTAAAAAGGTCTAAGCAATTCAATTTTTGAATGAAAAGTAGGTGTATATATATATATATATTTAAAACCAGATATAAAATGTAGGTACCTATAATACGTAGCTAAATTGAAAAATTCTTGTAAAATTGTACCTATATCAAAACTTGGTACAATTAATTATTATTTTTAGTAGTATTTTATTTTACCTCACCACCTTCATCTCCAAGCCAGTTGCTACTCACATCCAGAAACTCCAGAGTATGATTCAAACACATCATTTGACCAACTCTCATGGCAGTTACATCTTCAATTTCACAACTTGCAAGACTTAATTCTTTAGGTTTCTCTCCTCTAACTAGTGATCTTAGTATTCCCATGGCACCATCGTGTTTCAAGGGGTTTAATCTCATGTCCAAAAGGACTAAAGGGCAACATGTTTCTTGTAACAAGGCAAATCCGATAGCTTCTGCTCCTTCCTGTCCAATGAAATTGTTGGTAAGTTTGAGAATATTTAGTTTTGGATGAACAGTCATAAGTTTGGCAATACATTTTGCCCCATGGTCTCCTATATGATCGTGAGAAAGATCCAGTTCAACTAAAGTTTCGTTTTGGAGTAGGCATTGCATGAGAGCCTGGGCGTGAAAATTTTCGATTCTACTCCTATGGATGCGTAATGTGTGAATGTTTTGTAGACTGAGAACTGATAATCCCAAATTCCTCGCATCTTCCACCGAAAGTTTGAACAGGTTCCAGGAAAACTTTTCTTCTGAAAGATTGTTCATTCCAAAAACGATATCCAGTTCTTCGATATTTTCCAGCTTGCTGATAACATGCTGAAAATTAATGTGTTCGATAGGCCATATTTCTGGAATGTCTTCAGGTTCCCACGTGAGCGGGGGTTTCCACGCCTTCAACTGTGTGATGATAAGTTTTTTTACAAATGGAGCGCACAGTTGGGTTATGTCTTGCATATTTTCTTCATCATGATATTGGGGTTCGGCTCCTTCAATCACTTCTTGCATATACCTTTCTATAAAGCTATGTTTCCAAATCCAGTGGGCTTTTCGGCGAGTTAAGGGCATTTTATATTTATCTATGTAACGTCGCTCCCAGTAAATTTCATCCTTGGGTAGGTAAAATTTTTTGTTAAAGAATAATCCCGAAAACAATGGCTTGCAAACCTTTATAAAATCATTTATGATCCCCATTTTTCATGCAACAATAAATAGGTAGGTAAACCTAATAAAATTGCTTTTGTCTCAATAAAAATTTCTGGCTACGGGCCTGGTTTCAATTAATAACTTCATTTAGCAAAATAATAACATTTTTTTGGAATCACTTCGGTTAAATAAGCGATTATCAAGTAATTATGAATCGTTTATAGAAATAATTAACTATTAGACTATTTTCTTTGTGTAGCCACTTCCGGAAAGTAAACACTCTCAGACCAATTAATTACTTTTTGTCTTGCCTAATTACAAGAAAATTGCTTATTTAATTGAAAATTTAAAGAGGTATCTACGTACCTACATATCTGTTTTAGTCTTTAAAAGAATTCTGGAAGATACTTTATTACAATATTTTTAAAAGAATGAATCTATAGGTAGGTACATGTATTTAGTGTACCAAATTTGAGGAAAATGCATTAGTCCTTGAAATCCCAATTACATTTTAAGATCCAAGGACTTCGAATTGCCAATTAGTCTGAAAGCAATTAGATTCCAACCTATAAGCATTTTGAAAGTGCTTCAAGTATATTCTTTGAAACAGCTTGAAAACTTTTCAATTCAAATTACAGGGTATTAGTTTACCAAGTCCGACAACTTGTTCATGAAAGTGTTTGAATTACAATGACTTTCAAGCCATGAAAGGACTGGAGGTCATTTTCAGGCATAAACGCACTAAAACCCCGCCCAGCTCTGTACTGTATATTGTTCTTAAAACGACTACTTATTTTTCTTAAATGGATATTTACTTCTATGTTTGCTTCTAGACTTGATTAATTTAGCAATTCGAAAAAGGTATTAAAAGTTAAATGTTTGGAGCACGGCGCTGTACGTGTGCGAGACATGAACGCGCGAAAAAAAAGGGGTAGAAGGGTTCGAAATGTGGTGTTACAGGCGAACGATGAGGTTATCGTGGATAGAGAAGGTTAGAAATGAAGAGGTATTAGAAAGAATAGGAGAACAGAGGACTCTATGGAAGTCAATAAGAAATAGGCGAGATAGGTTTATAGGACATTTACCTCTAATCAGAGACATGTTAGAGGCAGTAGTTAAGAGGAGTAGAGGTAGACCTAGATTCGATTACTGCTCGGAAATAGTTAAGGATATGGGTTGTTCTAGTTTTAGGGAAATGTGAAGATTAGCTCAGGATAGGAAATAGTGGAGGTGCGTGTCCAACCAGTCTTAGTACTGACGATGCGACGTTATGATGATGATGGATATTTTGAAATTCTTACTTTTCATCTAGAAACGTAAAATAGAAGACATATTAGGTACCATTTAAACTTAAATTAATTTTAAGCATGAGCCGTTAATTGCCTCTTATAATTTTTCTGTTTTATCGTCAGTACTTTTTACAATATTTTTGAAATTTTACTTCTTATAATGTATCTATGTAGAATATTTAATGCATTAATATTCCAATAATTTAGCANATTTTAATTTCAATTTTCACGCTCATTATTAACTGGATTTATTTAAGCTTGGATGATTTACAATGGTTTTTTTGCACCTTTCACCTTTTCTGCAACTCTAAATTATCATACAAGTGACCTTACAATCTACCCTGAGGAAATTTTACATTAAAGAGAAACGTCGGTTTTGATTATTGATAAATAAAACACTTCCGATCCCTTTAAGTTGTTTGAATGGTCCTTTCCGTTGGTATTAGGGGAAGAATTAAAAATATTTAATCATCAACTTTTAAACTTTCGGATGTTTGAAACAAAAAATAGATTTGGTGACGCTGCACTTTTTATATTATATTTTTGAAGCTGTATTTGCTGTATTTATAATATTTGATCTCCCAAATATCATTAAAGTTTTGTCCCTCGTGAGATCTTTAATCGTTTCAAAGTCGAGGTTTTGTAAGGATTTGGTTGATCAATAATATAAATTTTACATTGATATTTAGGTAATGAATAACATCATAACGACTTTCAGATCTTCCATTAATTTTTTTCCACTACTGCTTTACTTTCATTAAAAGAGTACTTTATTGTTTCCATTTTAAGGCAAAAACACTTAAACTTTAAATTATTTTGTTAGTAAATGAATGATTTACTTCAAGATGGGTTTTATCGAATTTCATAGTACATTTGCTGTTGTTCGTGCTTTACAATATTTTTGAAACTGAATTTACTTATTTGCTGGAATGTCTTCAGAATCATTGATGTCCCACCCGTTCTTGTTGTTTGGCTACATTTATATCCCATCATCTCAGAAGTTTTGACCCGGTACATACTGCCTCTTGAGATCTTTCACTGAATTAAACACAAAATAAATTATTTTCCTTGTGTGATAATTGAAATTGAAGATGGATAGTTCCACGAAAATTCGGTCAATAATTATAAATTTCACCTTAGCCTTTGAGAGATATTTCGAAAGAATTTATAAATACGTTCAAATCTCTTATTAATTATAATTTTCGCTATTGTTTTATTTTGGTTAAAGGAGTATTTTATTTTATTATAGTAATAGTTATTAGAAAGTGTTTAATCTGAAGTAATCTGCACTAACCAAACATCGTTACGAAAAATTTGATAACTGTTTTTCTAGTTAAATGACAACTACACCGTAATTTAGTTTAAGGTTGATTGAATGTTGCATTTTAGGAGATTGCAGACACACCTCTCCACGCAGTGAGATAATCATCATCATTATAAAGTCATTCATCCTGAGACTGGTTGGACACGCACCTCCACTCTTTCCAATCCTGAGCCAATTTTCGCATTTCCCTATACTAGAATATTCTACATACTTAACTAAGTCGGATAAATAAAAAAAAAATTAGTGGGAACACGGCTTTCTTTATGGAATTCAAAATGTGAATAGGGTCCAAAAACGCTCTTTTTCTTTTTCTTCTTCTTTTTCTTTATTTAGGACTAATTGTCTCTTTTTCCTTTTAACCTTGGTCAAAGCATTCCCAAAAACTAGAACATCCCATATCCCAAATTATTTCCGAACAGTAATCTAATCTAGGTTTTCCTTTCATGTGTCCCTAACGAAATCTTCATGCGTCTTAGAAGGCGTTCTATATCCTTTTTCCTTGCTTTTTTTCTACTTTATATTAAGTACCTTCTCATTTCTAACCCTTCCTTTCCACTGTATTTTCATCGTCCTACATAAATAAACCACATCTCAAACGTTTCTATCTTCCACGTTTAGTATTTGTACCTATACAGAGCCGTACTCCAAGCATACACTTTTAATAACATATACTTTCGATTTTTGAAGTAAAACTTCTTTACGCACGGTAAAGTAAGTTCGTTTCATGCGAGTTGCTATGTAACGTAATCATGCAACGGATGTCTCATAGTGGGGATCGCTTGGGCCGTGAGCGCGCTACAATGCAACGTTCGTTACAGGCAACTCAAGCAATATTTAGAATGAATCTTCAGGGCAGATATAGGACATATATTATTCCATTTTAAAATAAAACAGGCTTTCGTGGAGACTACTTTTAAACGTAAGTCGAAGTCGACGAAAGCATTGTCTTAATGATAATAAAAGACAAAGAAAAGTTTTAAGGTTTAAAAGAGCATGTAAAAATGTCCGTGACGACATATAGACCTCTGTATTAATTCACAAATTGGGGAAGTATCACTTTTATAGTCCCAATCTGAATTCCAAGCGAAAACTGAAAATTTCTATATTGAAAATTTATTAGTACCTCCCTCCTATCCCAGAATATGTAGGTAACTACAACTTACGTCAATAAGAGGAACAACTAATTCCAAAGGTAAATCGGTCGGTAATAGTTCTAACAGATGGTGTCTATCTTGACATGGTAACTGATTCAATAGTGGATGGTCTTTAAAAAAACCGCAGATTGCTTTTACACAAAAATCAACTAGAGTGGGACAAAATTCGTCATTCCAGTGGAAATCTTCAGATATTATTTTCTTTCCAATCTCGGTTAAAAGTTCCAAACTCTGCGGAGACGGAGTGTATTCTATATTGGTATTTTGATTTATTATATACGGGAACCGCATTTTGGGCTTTTTAACAATAATTTAGACCCGAAAAGTAAAAAAAAACGAAAATTTAAATCGCAAACTAATTTGACGTTTTTGACAACTCACAAAAATTTAATGAGATCTTGAATAATAATATTCCAATTAATAATCATTGGACTACAAATAATTTATATTGTATCTATTATTAAACGAAGTTTGCCGATCTAAAAATTGCACCATAAAGTTTTATTTGTTCGATTGTAATAGGTATTTGAAATTATTTGAGAATCTTACATTACAATAAATATATCAACAAAAAATAAATTGCAATTGAATTTAATCATCAGTTTTTAATTGTGTTGTCTTTTTGTTACCATGTGGTTTTTAATTCGCTAAGTTATTATTAATTTATTATTTTAATTGTGATTGTCTATGTTATTTTAATTTCAATTTTCACGCTCATTATTAACTGGATTTATTTAAGCTTGGATGATTTACAATGGTTTTTTTGCACCTTTCACCTTTTCTGCAACTCTAAATTATCATACAAGTGACCTTACAATCTACCCTGAGGAAATTTTACATTAAAGAGAAACGTCGGTTTTGATTATTGATAAATAAAACACTTCCGATCCCTTTAAGTTGTTTGAATGGTCCTTTCCGTTGGTATTAGGGGAAGAATTAAAAATATTTAATCATCAACTTTTAAACTTTCGGATGTTTGAAACAAAAAATAGATTTGGTGACGCTATAATGCATAAGGAAAGAAATTTGTAAAATAAAACTGAAAAAATTAAAAATCCAATCAAACACGACAAAGTTCAATCATTTTAAATAAAAATTGTCAATAATTACATTTTTTTAAAAATATTACAAATAAGATGCTAGTTCGTCAAAAAAATATGCAGTAATTTCCCTACAGTTTTGTTAGTAGAAATCGACCCGTAAATGATTGGGATGAACTAACATTTTACCCACCCCTACGCTGCTGCCGTCACCAGCCGTAACGTTTATTACGGCTTACCCTTAAATCCGACATTAAAAAAGGTATAGGAGTATTCATAAATAAAGTAAAACAAAAGGTAAAAGTGCCATTCTCATTAAAATCTTTATATTCTTACAATACGTTTATAATAAAAACGACAATTTTAGAGATTAATTAATGTTAAATTTATGTATTGTAATAAATTGATAGTTTTAGGGCTTTTTAACCGTCGTTGATCAAGACCTCTCGGTGTCTCTTCGACTTGCATGGATATCATTAGCAGATTTATCGGTTACTCTACAAAAAAAAGAGGTTTTAAAGATGTCGTTCGTGCGTCTCAATGAAACATGGACAATAAGAAGTCTTCATTAAGGGCAGAAAGTCTAAGAAAGCTTGAAATATTAAGTGGTTATTAAACCCTAACAGATATTTCGCTTTATTTATTTGTTTTTTTAACGTGACAACGTCTTATAATTCGCTGGAGACGGCTGCACGCACGAAAAAACATGACTCATGCGGCGTTACCTCGCTCTGAGGCGTTCCATTTAAGGCTTGAAGTGCAAGCGAGAGCGCGGAACGAGCGACAAAGAGGCACAATCGGCCTCCGCGTTCGGCAGCGTTCGACATCTGTCTCTCTCCTACATGAGTGAGCGATGCGTTCTTGTGGACAGCTGCTATACAATAATACATTTCCATTTACCTCCTTCTCTATATCCATACAAAATTTCTATCAAACAAATAAAATTAAAATTTTCTTTTGAAAAATGAAACCATTCCATCAGTATTTTCTTATGACGTTGTCACGTTCAACTATCGTCAGTAAACCGACTTTACAGACAACCGATTTTTTGCTTAAAATAACCTCCACAACACACTCCTTCAGTGGAGGGAAAACTTAGAGAATCATCCTGTATAACCCTGCGGTTTTTTCTCTTTTTGAGGTACGGAACTTAAAGATATACACCTAGAGTTGTACACATATGTGTATATTGATGGAAGAAGTAGAAGTGTCGTAGGTAATATTTCGGGATTGGAAACGGTGAAAGAAGAATATCGGGATTAGGCCAAAACATGTTAGCACTGACAAATGGGAAAGAAAAATTTGGCTTACGGCACCAAAGTTAGGGACGCTAAATTGAAATAAAATTAGTTTTCAAGATTTACTAGCTATCTATCGATATTAAGTACTTCAATGTTTGATATTGATAATGGCATTGAGATAGTTGGTAGGAGTAATTTATACCATTAGAAGATAGTAGCTCCCTTAATTCAAATTTACCAGACAACCTATTTTTTTAATTTCAAATTAGTCTTCATTAAATTTGTCATTGAATTAGATACCTACGTCATTAAATCATTTTCCGTATGTAATAACTTCAGTCGACCGAAATTTTGTGAATATCCATCAGCTGTCGAATACAAAATTTCACATTAGCGTTTGATGCCGAAAGGCCAAAACGAGTTAGAAAGGCTTTTAAATCGTCTGTTAATTTTGTTCCACATTTTTACTTTTATTGAAAGAGTAGTTTATTGTTTCTGTCGTAAAGGAATGATAATTTAAATATAAAATTCTTTTATAAGCTAATGGACGAATCTTTGGGATAATTTTTATGAGAATTTTTCATTTTCTATTTTATCTCTTTCGTATTCTCTGATCGTGAGATATTTTTAAGATAATGCTGTATTATCTACAACGTGTTTTGAATCTTTGATGCTTCTGCTAGGTACTTAATTTTATTGTTGTTTTGTTCCTTTCTCTCAGAAGTCTCGACCCAGTACATGCTGCCTCTACAGATCTTTAATCGAATTAAATACCTACGTCAATCAACCACAACAATTTCCACTGATCGATTGTAGAGTTTCGTGAAAATTCGGCTGTCGAATATAAATTTCACAAATACTTTAAAAGGAAATTTATAACGATTTTTAAGTCCTTTGTCAATTATCTTTTTTTGTATTGTTTCCTTTTAAAAGGAAGAAAACATTATAATACATGAATTATTTTATTGTTCAGTTGATGCTCTACTTTAAGATGAGATTCACGGGAATGTTTTTTAATTCCGCTTTTTCTGCAGTGCTTTCTACAATATTTTTGTGGTTGCATTTGTTATTGTGTATTTAAAACCTGAGATGCTTCAATTACTCGATTCTAACATGGCTGTTTTGTCAATTTCTCTCAAACTCACTGTTATTCTCGGTTTTTTATCGAGCTAAACGGATTAATAAATTCTTTTGCAGTTGTTTTCTTGTAAACAAAAGCATGATCACGACAAGACTTACTTAGTGAGTATTGCCTGTTCCTAACGAAACCTTATCAGTTTATCCTAACCTACATATTTAACTGTTTTCGTAGTCTTTCTTCTTCATAGACTATCTTATGTCATTACTTTTGCATCTCGTTTATTTCCATTCTTGTTTATTGATCACTTTTCAGTGATCTATTATCTGTTTAAAGTTTACTGTTTCTATTTTGATTTCCTACCGTATAATGTGACCTAGTGTGATTTTTCCAAATCTTTGCGCCTATCCACAATAATATAGCTTTTATAACTTTCCTTCCCATTCAATCTCAATCAGCGTTCAGCAAATAAAAACAAATGGCATGTTTCCCCAGTTTATTAAGTCAAAACTCGACAATTTCTTCGGTCTGAGGCCATTAAGGAGAGCACATTTGGAGTTATGATTTCCAGTTGCTTGTTCACCAAATTCTTGTTGTTAAGTGGGGCTTTTTTGATCTCTGGATTTTGCAGCAAAAATAATTTTCTACTATTCGTTTTGGTATTTTTTTTTTATTGAAATTATGGTCTGAATTGATACAGTGTTCTGAAAATACGATGTTTTAACTTTTTGTGGACACTGTTGATATATGCTCTTTTATTCTAAAGCCAAGAGCCTTTCACTCTGCCCTGTGTAAGCCCCATCACAGTTTTTACAAAATAATAAAGAACTGGTTAATGCCGCTTTTTAGCAACTTGTCTTTTTAGGTTTGTACATGTTTGTATAAATACCTATATGATTCTAAATTGCTTTTGAATTTAATGTTAGTAACGTATTATTAATAACATTTAATGAGGCAAAACGATTAACATAGTTTTTTGAAATATCCGCATAAATTAACCTTATTTTTATGTGTAATTATTCTGTCTCTAGTATAAGAAAATGCTGAGCTATACACAGCCTTTGTTTCTAACTATTAATTTAATTGCGTATAGTTTAGTTTAATAATTAATTCTAATATGTTTCATCATCAAAAGGTCGTATGTCCTAAGCCTGGTTAATCTTCGCATTTGCCCAAAACTACAACAACACACATCTTTAACTATTTGCGAACATCTATCTAAGCTAGGTCTACCTCTACTCCTCTTAACTCCTGTTTCTGCCTCTAATATGTCTCTGACTGAGAAGGTGCCTTACCAACCTATCTCATCTATTTCTTATCGACTTCCTCCTTGTTCTCTGTTCTCGTATTCTTTCTAATACCCCTTCATTTCTAATCTTCTCTATCCACGGTATCCTCCATCAAACGCTTGTAACACCACATTTCGAACGCTTTTACTACTATTATTAAATATCAGTATTTCGAATACCTACATTAAAAATCTCAGTTGGAAAATAATATATGATGGAGTTAATCACTAAAGCCGAAACTATCTGTAATATACGTACAGTCCTGACAGTTTTTCAATATTTCAGATAAATGTTTTACAACCTACGTGAAGTATTTTCAAAAAATGATGATGAAATGAATATTGCGATTTCCTAAAATCTTTATGCAATATAACTACTGCTATTGCGTTATTAGTTGTCCTTACCGTTGTTTTTCGATTTTGCTTTGACTTATCGCAGAATTGTATAATCAGCTGCTAATTTCCTAACAATTCTCACAAAAGTTAATGTAGAAAAGTGGGCACATCGTTAAATAATGTGGTCAGTGGCCCTGTGTGTTGGGAGTCGGTAGCACCGACCCATACTCTCAAAAGATAACGATCAGTGTCGCTGATTCAAATGCTTTTTCCAATATAAAATTTATTTGAAACAATTTTTCTTTATTGAATTGTTCGTATATTACAGTCCGATTGGACCTTATAGTGGCTTGCCCTGTAGTAAATACATCGTATAATGTCCTCTCATACTAAAATTCAAAAAGTGTTTGTTTGGGTATTCGTTTTTTTGTGAAGTAATAAAAACGAGAGAATCTGTAGTACACATAAAAGCAGAAAATCCGAAAAGTAGGAGTAAATTTTTATTTCAAGAGATCGTGTCGTAGGTTGTACCTACTACTACCTACTAGGGTTGCTTGTAATTTGGTTAACTTCCTGTAATTATTCTGATGAGACTAAAAGGATTGTTGTTGTTAATTGCTAGTGGTAATTCGTGACGGTTGCATGTTTATAAAACATGCCCTAAAATCCTAGGCGCAGCTTTCCGCGGGTCGATCCAAAGGATAGAGAGAACGGAGACGCCGATACACTAGTAATTCCGCGCACCGACGCACTTTCATCCAGCGTCGAAAATATGCGTCGCGCTTGCTTCTAGAACGACTACAAGTTGTACTATGTCCTTTCGAAACAAGCACACACACGTAATATTAAATACCTACAGACTTTCGTAAAGATTCCAGCATAATAATATTAACTTTAATATATGTCGTCAACATGCCACATTATGTGAACTGTGAATGTTAAAACTAGAGTTTACGTCGAGGAAAAAAGAAGACAAACAAAGCCAGCTCTCATAGCGTATCATTTACGGTGTTATCTGATAAGGAGGATCGAGTTTGGAAAACAAAAAGTCAGATCGTTTATCGGTGATACTACAAAGAGGTGAGTTTCGGGCTTTGTGTCTTTCCAAAGGTTTTATTTAAATTACTATATATTTCTTTACCTGTTGCACTTTGATGAAGTATCTAGCCCTTCAGTTTTAATGATAAAACGAGTGAAGTAGATACATAGTGAAGTAGGTCAGTACATTGACGAGCGCCGAGAGAATTTATATATTCATTTACTTCTCGACTATCTATCATGCGCTGTCATAAATTACATTTTAATGCCATTACAACATTGGAGGTTTGAATTTAATTTGAATAAAAGAAATTGGTTTTTATTGTCGAAAAATTAAAAAATAAAAGCAATTTCGGTAGAATAAATTAATTCACTTTTCCGAGAAAAGATTAAAATTAAAAAATGGATATAAAAAAATCGAAGGAAACAAGTCTTGTTTCATGAGGTCAACTTGAAAATGTTAAAAAAGTGTTTTATGATAAAATAAATAAATTAAGAGCCCAGTAGCACATCATTGCCCTAAATGGCTAAATTGGAATCAAGTCCGAAACAGAAAAAATATGTAAAAAATAAAATTATCATTTCTAAAGAAAATAAACAAATTTTTTATGTCAAATTATTTCGTTTGACCCGATACTTAAAACACACGTTTCATTTATCGTATCAGCCAAGAATTAAAACAAAAAATTTCTAGTTGATGACTGTTATTGGTGACAGACATTCACTTGATTTTATCTGTGGTCATGACAGCTTAAAATTATAGTGTGGGCTAAAACCTTATATATAGTTATTGCTAGTTTACTGTTTCTTGATTAGCTTCTGTTTTTTTATATTAAAATTGTCATTATATTTCTAAAGCCATTTATCTTATGTAAATAAAAATTAAAAAAAACTAATAAACTAATTTGAACTAATTGTAATTATCTGAATAAGTGTTTTTTAAGGAAAGAAATTGAAAAATGTTGATCGAAAAATTCGGGAAAAGCTGTAATTGTCTTTTTTCAATGAGCTTTTTGTTAAAATTCAAGAGTCAAACCTGAGTGAATGATGTAACAGTTTTTTCCTGTATCCCTTCTAAGTAATAGTTAGGTCTAGCGATACGATTCTAGGTTCGTACATACTATGTCATTGTATGAAATGAATTTTTTATATAAAAAACTTGCTTTTATAAATAAAGTTAAACTAAAATATTCGTTACGCTACCGTCACCACAAGGAAGGTATCTACTCTTGGTGCAAAAGTATAGAAATTCAGTGTTATAATGATGGGAGAAATCCACCGTGGTACATATTCTCCCAGTACCGCTTATCGCCTTTTTGCACTTCTTACTTCTATACATAGAGGTATTAGAAAGAATAGGAGAACAGAGGACTCTATGGAAGTCAATAAAAAATAAGCGAGATAGGTTGCTAGGACACCTTCTTAGGCATGAAGGTCTTGTCAGAGACATATTAGAAGCAGAAACAGGAGTTATGAGGAGTAGAGGTAGACCTAGATTAGATTACTGTTCGCAAATAGTTAAGGATGTGGGTTGTTTTAGTTTTAGAGCTCAGGATAGGAAGGAGTGGAGGTGCGTGTCCAACTAGTCTTAGGAGTGATGACCTTATGATAATAATTTCTGTACATTCAAGTGCTTTCTAGTTAGGCTTCAGTTACTTTGTATTGGTATATATATATATGTGACATTGCAGCGTTTCGTTTCAATTCGATATTTATTGAAGTGCTGTGGGATACACAATATGTCTTGTTTTTCCTGTCGAAAATTGGTCCTACCAACTCAGAAACCTTCTTTGGCTCATGCACAACAATTTTACTAAAGATCATCACATGATCAAATGCATAGTTTACGATTCTATAAGAAAGAAACATTCATTTTTATAAAAATATAGATTATTTTGAAAATAACTGCACAAAAAATTAGTTAAAGAAATCAATTGTTTCGTCAGCCAAACGATTCCAGATATTGCAGACTACTAAGAATAATCGTCATTAATGAACAAAAAAAAGTTGAAACTGGAAAAAATTGTAAGCTATTTCGGGCAAGGAATTTGTCCCTCGTACCATTATCCAAATCCTGTAGTACACAGTGAAATTCGTCTTTCTACAATTACCCCACACTTCGCCGGCAATCAATTTTTTCTTCAATTCCGCAAATATAGTGGAATCCTGCTCAATTTACGAGCAGGATTACTCCCGCGTGTTACATACGGGATCCCGCATTTTTTATTTCGAGATCTCGGTATCTCGGTATTGCGTTCCCTAATTGGTATACTTCTGAAACCCTTTTTATTATCGACTCCCATTTTTGTTTTTAATAATACATTCCTCGTGAAGTATTATTTAGGCAAATCAATGAAAAATTTCCACACTCACAAAACAGGCTAAAATACTGTTTTTGTGATAACTTTTTTTATTATACTCAAGTTGCACCTGCAATAGCATTAATTACACATATAAAACCTTTACCGTCTTTAAACCTTTGTTAACCTTCGACTATTATTTGACTAATAAACGGAAAAGTTCTTTGAACAGCTTTTAAAATGCACAATTGGCAAGTTATGTGATTAACTAAATGAATGCTTGTGTAGGTGTACATGGATGTTTGCGCCTATGCTTTATTCAAGGTATTACTTACTACATTGAATTACGGAACTGAAAGACGTCCCTTTGTTACACTCACGTAATATCGTAACAGTGTAAAGTAATGAAACTAAACCGCAGTTAAAATTAAATACAAACGAGGCGTTTTCACGAATACAAAAAGCACTACATATTAGTTATGAGTATTATAGAACAAAACAGAATGAGAAACCTAATTAAAATTGAAAAATACATGTTAATACGAGGCAGAAGCATTTGGGAATATTTACTTCACAAATTTTTGTTAAAATGATCCCAAATTGTGATTTTGAGCATACTATTTAATGCACCACAAGATTAGTCATAAAATTAATGAAGCTGAAATTCAGATGAATGACATATAAATCATCATCATCATCAGAGATGTGCAGAATGGAAAGTATTTAAATACAAAACGTAAATACTTTTTTGATTTGTTATTTAAAATGTAAAATACAAAATGCAAAATACGTATTTCCAAAATACTTTTTTCAAATAAATACTTTTTTATAGCATCTAAGTATTTAATTTTCAGCTTTTCTAGACTTGCACTATATCACCAGCTGCGAAGGTTGAATATGATTCGTATTTTTCTGTTATTGAGATATAGTTTTTCTATCTTTATGACATACGTTTCTTCAGTTCAGCAACAAATAATTCTTCTATATGCTTCCTTATGTACCTTTGTCACCGTTTTAATTGGAAAAAAGACACTGATGTCAAAATAGTTTGTTTAGTGTGAAAGATCAAAGCCAAAATAGGGTTCCAAAAAAATAATTTGATGTATAATCAACATCAGTCATTTTATATCGAAACATTAACAACCCCATTTTGTTTCTGATCTTTTACACATTGTAATAAGAGAACGAAATGGAATCCGTAGCTTCTTCAGGGTTCATCTAATAAGTGAAGTTTTTCGAATCGTTTACTAAGAATTTTGGATTGTATGCATTTACTAGCGACTCGCCCCAGCTTCGCACGGGTGCAATGCTGATACTAAATATATTTTTGTTTTGTTTAGATTATTATCGAGAAGGGGAAATCTTCAAAAGATACTCCCTGAACATACTAAATATACTACAGAACGTCTTTAGACAATACAAATTGGCCTCCCGGCCGGTACCGGCGCAACCGCTATGTCCCTGCATTTTAAGTCTGTAATATCTTCGAAAATATTCATTTAAATTACATGCTGTAAGGTCATATTGAGCTATATTAAATGCACAATGTATTTAAAAGTACTTAATTGGATAAGAATTAATGTTGTATTGCCTACAATCGCTTCGTAAATAAGTCATTATTTCTCATAAAAAGTAAAGGATAAAATATGGTTATTGTGGGTTATCCCTAAGAGATAGACATATACCATCGCGGACTTTTTTGTAGACCCTTTTAAGATGTACAATATTGTAGTACATTATTTTGATCTATTTCGTAGGGTTGAGTCAGCGTTTGCAATGTAAGCGCAAAAAATGTGTTTATTTACGACATCACATTAGAAACCTCTGAAATTATCAGTATTTCCCTACTATATTATGCATGTATTCTACATATAAACCTTCCTCTTCAATCACTCTATCTTTAAAAAAAAAACCGCATCAAAATCCGTTGCGTAGTTTTAAAGATTTAAGCATACATAGGGACAGACAGCGGGAAAGCGACTTTGTTTTATACTATGTAGTGATTAGCGCACCACAATACCTTGTTTTACACAGCTAGCGTATATCAATTCATCAATCAATTGTTTTACGGGTTGTTTTGTCGTAATTCATAGAATTTCGTAGTTCCTTGCTAAGATACGATAAGTGGTGATTTGGCAGGCCTTGACATCAATTTGAAACTTCAAAATTCTATGCACCATGACATTAAACCCGAAAAAGAATATCGATCTAGTAGTTTACATTATCCATTTCCAAGGAGTTTAGAATTTTTTGGACTCTCTTCAGTGAAGGAATTAGAAGACGTACATGAAATATCTCTTTGTTCCCTTTTTAAGCTTTTAATACCTTCAATGGTCAATGCGGGCAACTTTCATTCATCATTTTATATAACGTTTGATCGGTGATATTAGCAAAACTTTTAGCGGCAACATGTATTTTTCATTTTACAAATAGAAAATACACGTTTGGAAAAGAATTTTAAATAAAATACAAAATGCTTTTCTCAAAAAAGTATTTAAATGCAATATAAAAATAGCTATTTTTTATTTTGTATTTTAAATGTATGTATTTCAAGTAAATTACATCTCTGTTCATCATCATCATAAGGTCGTCAGTCCTAAAATGGTTGCTTTTCTCAGAATTTTGTATAGTTTTATTAGGACAGAAAGGGCCGTATCTCGCGGAACCCCTGTGACCCTTCCATGGAACACTATAAGGTTTCTCGAAACACCATTTGCAAACCGCTGGATTAAATGTTAATAC